CGTCAAACCCCATCCCCTGCTCAACATACTCAACAACAAGCCATGGACAGTTAGTCATCTCATAGGAACCAACTTATCATCCATCCTTCAGAATCTAACCAGAAGCTTAAGTCATCTGCTCATGATTCCTCAAACAGCTCTCACACTGATCTTCACAATGCAACAGGAATCTCCAAGAATATTAACCATATACCAGAGTCTCTACAACCTATGGAAACTGATACCAGAATTTTGCCTCTTACCATTGTGAATCCCCCTATGACTTCTCAAACCAAATCCAAAACTTGGAAAAGGGTTGGCACTAAAGAAGGTAGATTACAAAGACAGGAGGAGATTTCCCATAATATTGAAAGTTCTATAAGTGGTAAGAGATCCAGAACAGAACCAACAGGTGACAAGGATACTGGAGAGGATCAATCTCAACAAGCAACAGATAACAAAAAATTAAAATCATCTTTGAAGGAGGTGGGGGTTGCCAACTTGAAATGGCACCCAAGCTCCCCATGTTAGCTACGGTGTGGAACTGCAGAGGGCTAGGTGAGCCCTCTATAGTTTCCCAAATCAGAGAGACTCTGAAGTCTCATCACTCAGTTTTTATGTTTCTTTCTGAGACAAAAAAAAAACTACTGCTTTTGTTAAAACTGTAATTAGGAGGCTAGGCTTTGAGGAGAAATTTTCCCTGGTTGATCCTCAAGGCTTAAGTGGGGGTCTTTGCTTTTTTGGAATCCCTCTGTGAATATTTTGCAAATTTACAGTTCCTCATTTTATATAGCTGTTTATTTTCAGTTGCCATCATCTGAACCCCAATGGGGAATTTTTGTGTACATGAGCCCATGCAGGAATCAGAGAACGATTCAGTGGGCAACTTTAGAATCTGAAAAACAGAAGTGGTGAGCAAATTGGTTTTTAGTGGGTGACTGGAATGACTTGTGTTCCAATTCAGAGAAACTTTGAGGAGTTACAAGGATTGCAAGCAGCTTCCTAGGGTTCAATTCATTTATCAACACTATGGAGATGGAGGGAGTCAGAATGCTAGGCTATCAGTACACATGGTGCAACAACAGAAGCTATGAGGGAGTGGTTGAGGAGAAATTAGACATGGCCTTTGCCTCATTGGAGTGGATGCAGAAATTTCCTAATGCCAAAACTCTAAACTTGGTGACTAGCTCCTCAGATCATTCTATCATCTTAGTAGACCCTGGAGTTCCACTGAAAAGGAAGACCAGAAGGTTTCAATTTGATAAAAGGTGGATTGGCAAGTCTGATCTAACTGAAGTGGTTGAAAGAGCATGGCAGCTACTAGTTTTGGGCACTCTATTTTATCATCTCAAAGAAAAGGTGAAGAACACTCGCATAGCCCTTCTGAAATGGAGCTCTCAGTTTCAAACTCAAAATCAGCTTCAAATTGCTACTCTCACTCATAAACTGGAGGCTCTTAAAGAGGATACTTCTGAAGCCAAATGGGATGATTGAAACTCCACAAGACAAGAGTTGGATAAGGCACATCATAATGAGTCGCTCTTTTGGCAGCAAAAGCAAGATTGACTTGGCTAAAACATAGAGACAGCAATTCCAAGTTCTTTCATGCCTACACATTGCAAAGAGGAAGGATGAATGCTATTACTAAATTAATCTCAGCCAGAGGGGAAGAACTCACATCACACCAGGATATCCAAGCCCATATCTCTGAGTTCTATGCCTCTCTATTCTCAACAGAAGGATTATGGGGTGGGGATTCTATGCTGCATCTAATCACTCCATCAATAACTCAAGAGATGAATCATACTCTATTGATGCCTGTTGATGAACATGAGATCAAATCAACTTTGTTTAGTCTACATCCTGAGAAGGCTCCTGGTGAAGAGGGTATGAATGCTCTTTTTTACCAGCACTTCTGGAATCTTATTAAACATGACTTCAATGCTGCTGTCTTAAGTTTCTTTCAATCTGGACATATGCTTCAATACTGGAATCACACTAGTCTTCCTTTGATTCCTAAATGTGATTCACCTGACACAATTTGCAAGTTTAGACCCATAAGCTTATGTACAATGGTTTATAAAGTTATTTCTAAGGTTCTTGCTCTCAGACTGAAAACCTGTTTAGATGGTTGCATTAGTGGTTTCGAATCAGCCTTCCTTAAGGGAAGGCAACTACCTGATAATGTAATCATTGCTCAGGAGGCCTTTCACTTCTTAAATAGGCACTCTACTGGTAAGAACTATTTTATGGCACTGAAACTTGATCTAATCAAGGCATTTGATAGAGTTGAGTGGATCAGTCTTAAAAAGATAATGCTCCAGATGGGTTTCCACTTAGACTTTGTCAAGCTAATTATGGCCTGCATCTCAACCACTTCTTTATCTTTTAAAATAAATGGTGAAATTAGTGGCTTTGTTTCTCCTTCCAGAGGTATTAGACAGGGAGACCCCCTCTCCCCATATCTCTTCATAATTGTGGCGGAACTTCTTTCAGCTCTTATTATAAATGCTACAAATCCTGGGCAGCTGAAGGGGCTTAAACTATCCCAGTCAGGTCCATCCATCTCACATTTACTCTTTGCAGACGACTCCTTATTTTTTTGTAGAGCATGGGTGGATCAAGTAGTTATTCTTATGGACATCTTGAACATATATAAGCTGTTTACAGGACAATCTGTGAATCTCCAAAAGTCAGCAATTTTTTCAGTAGGAATTCTCCTACTAACCTCCAAGATCATATATGTGCAGCCTTGCAGGGTATTCAAAAACACAGATCTACCAGGTACCTCGGGTTACCACTTGGCATAGGCAGGTCCAAGAAGGAGGTTTTTGCATATCTTCTAGAATCCACACAGAGCAAACTCCAGAGTTGGAAGGCTAAATTGCTCTCTTCTGCTGGCAAAGTTTTGCACCTAAAATCAGTGTTACAGGCATTACCCATATTCACTATGTCCTGTTTCAAGCTGCCTGTCTCTATCTGCTCTGCAATTTCTAGCTTATGTGCTAAATTTTGGTGGAAAACAAATTCTGAGGAAGCTCAAGGTATACATTGGGGGAGATGGGCAAAGCTTACTATTCCAAAACAAGATAGGGGTCTTGGCTTCTTGGACATCAAGTTATTCAATGAAGCCTTGATTTGTAAGCAACTGTGGAGGATCACATCTCAACCTGATTTGCTAGTCAACAGGGTACTCAAAAAAAGGTACTATCTCAATTCTTCTATCTTTCATGCTGTTAAATCTCAGAGGGGATCTTGGCTTTGGAACTGCTGGCTAGATGTGCTTCCATTATTTTCAAAATGGCTCAGAACTGAAATCAGGGATGGAGCTTCCACAAAGATTGAGGATTTTAATTGGGTTCCCAACATTTTTAAGGCCAAACCTGATATGTTGGAACTTGCTAGAGGCCACCTCATTTATGTCAAGGACTTGTTGCTAGACTCTGGTTTGGCCTGGAATGAATGGTTAGTACAACAGGTCTTCAGTGAGGAAGATAGCAAAGCAATCTTAAACATTAAAACATTGAGGCCTGGCAGAGCAGACAGATTGTTTTGGGGTCTGGATAAGAAAGGGCAATTTTCTGTTGCTAGCACTTACTCCTTTCTGGTTTCTCAGAAGGTTCTCAAACTTGATCAGCCAGAATGCAGCAACCCCATATATTCAAGCAAAATCCCCTTTAATAGAAGCTGGTCTTTGAAAGTGATGATGAAACTTAAAATCTTTTTTGTGGAATTGTATCCATGGGACTTTACCAGTTTTAACCAACTTGAAAAAAAAAAAGGCATGGATATTGATATCATTTGCAGGTGCTGTGGAGAAAATCCTAAAACCATTGAGCATGTACTGCTACATTGTCCCAGAGCATGTACAACATGGGAGTTGGCACCTGTTAGCTGGCAGGGTATAACACAGCACTCGGGATCATTCAGAATTTGGTGCACTCCATTTGTTCCATTGACCATTCAGAGGTGGCAAAAAGCAGGATTCAACTGACAATTTATCTCCTCTGGTGGCTGTGGAAGACCAGGAACCAATGGATTTTTCAAGGTTCTCAGCCACCTCCACACATTGTAGTCGAAGCAGTTGTTTCTGATTGGATGGAGTTTTCCTCTTTACCATCTGTTTCTACCTGATCTTGGATCCTTTTATTTTCTTTCTTTGTCTGATTTTGGTTGTAATTAGGGCTTGTTGATTGCTAGGCTTTGTGGCATTGGTAATCTGTTGCTTCTAATTGTTAGTAGTTCTCTGTGTATTTAGTGTGTTTGTGTTGAGGCTCTAGGTCATCTTGTTGATGTACCTCTCAAGTTGTCATTTCAGTTTGAACCTTTTGTATTCGAGCTTTGCTCGCTTTTCAGTTAATAGATTCATCTATCGTTTTGGAAAAAAAAAAAGTTTCAGTTACTGGTTTTAAAATAATTATTGGATTGTCACGAAAAAATTTGAAAAATTCAAATAGTTTTATTAATTTTTAGCAAGTATATATATATAGGGTCACGCTCCGGTGAGAATGGCTCTTAATGCGAGAAATAAGAATAAATCGTAGTCATTGAATCGGATGATCTAGTGGCTAAAAAAAAGTCAAAATTATACCTACAATAAGGGTATTGTGGTATTTTTCCACACCACACCAAGGTAGGCTTTCACATTAAAAAACCTGCCAACCCAACCACCCCACCATTCAAACCGCACCTCTCTCTCTCTCACACACAAACACACACATACATACATAACAAAATCGACCCACTCACATTCACACAATCACCGGCCCGCCACCGCCAGTCCGCCGCCGCCGTCGCCGCTCCTCCGCCCGCTATAATCGGCACACATATCTCTGCCTCCCTCAGCCTGTCGCTATATCTCGACCTGCCGCCGACGAACAGCGGTCGCCGGCGAGAAGCCACCTGAGAGAGTCCAAACGATTGTCCGTCGGCAGCCGAACCACCACTCGCCGCCGACCACCTCGTTCGCCCAATCGGTTGCCCACAGATACCCAATACACACACAAATCGCGCCCCCTAGCCTGCGACTATCTTGTTCGTCGCCGACCTTCCCACCGGCGCCCCGCCCAGAGCCACCCAGCATCACCCACAACAACCGCGCACACCCTGTACTCACCGAGGACGCCTCCATGCCTCCGTGCAGGTCTGCCACCGCGCAAATTGCAGCACGCCGGACTTCGACCATTCCCCGCCACCCAGACCCGACGGCCAAATATTAATGACACAATCGCTGTCGAATTTTAGAAATCGAGACGGTCTCTCTCCAGCCACCACGAGCCGCCGATTTCGTCGCTCTATGTGGCGGATTGCCTCAAATTCTCTGTGAATTGCGGCAGCGACAATGACGGAGAAGGTAACTATGTGGCAGAGAGAGGCTGTGGCAAGGGGTTCGGTTGACATCGGCTAGGGGATGAGAGCATCGTGTTTTTTTGATGTTGGGCTGAGAAAAATCAATTGGGGATTAGGGGCTTTTAGTTGAAAATTGGATAATTTTTAGGGGTCCTAAGGCAATTTCAAACATTTTACTATAATTACAATTGAATGTATGGGCTAGATTTACAATTTATTAAAAAGTTAATAAATGCAAATTAATGTTAATCGATATGCTCAATATAAAAAGTGTATATGCACATTAAAATGTCCGGTCTACATAATGCACAAAATCGAGAAAAATGATCGAAACCGGTCGTGATACAAAATTTAGTTCATTTTTTATGTCGGTTATGTTAGCGAGTTTTAATTTTTTGGTTATTTTGATTTAGAGTATTTTTTATATTTTGTATAAAATAATAAAATATTAAAACACTAAATATGCATATAAATGAAATGCACAATATTCTTTGTAACACACATTAAAAAATGTATTATAATTTAGATCATGGGTTAAATTAATTTACCAAATTTTTAATAATTGCACATTAATTTATCAAAAAACCTTTAATTACACCATAATTTGTCAAAAAATTATTGATTGCACTATATTTTAGATATGCTTGTTAAAAATACATGTAATGGGTAATACCTAATAATGTTAAAAAATATTAATATTAATTTATGTGAAATTTCATTTTAGCGTAATAGTGTATGGATTGAAACTGTTGAAGTAAAATTTTTGGTGCGGTTTGGTTAACATTTGTTATTTTTAAAATTTCGGTTATTTTAATTCGGTTTCGGTTTTATTTTTAAAATAAATGAAATCATCCGACATATATAAAGAATATTATTTATATTATATATTTTGATTGAAATACACATTAACTAAAAATTTCAAAAATTGAGGTGTACATAATAAATAGAGTGCACAATAATGTTAGACGAACTGCACATTAGTTTGTTTGGAAATGCACATTATCAATTTTTAAATAATATTAAAATTTAGGATATTTCAATCTGAGTTCTGCTTTATTTAAAAAAAAAAACGGAATCAACAAACCATACGAAAAAAATTATATTTTATCTATATATATTGTTTATTTTCATAAAACAACAATATAAAGTATTTAATAAAATATTACAAATACTAAATATATTTTTGTGTAAAAATAATATAATTGCACTTGGAATGCGCACTATAATGTTTGGCAACTTGCACCTTAATATCAGTTAGATTGCACAATATATTTCTTTTGTGTATTGAATAATTTTTTTAATCAAAACATAATATAAGATATCAAATAAAAAAGATATTAGATACTAGTCATGTTTTTATAATAAATAATATTTTTTTTATATATGCATGTACCATATTATTTATTTTCAAAAAAACATACATATGAATATTGACATATTAATTATAGTTTGATTAATTACACATTTGACCCCTAGACTAAATTGTAATATATTAAACTTTCTAAAATTGCAATCAAGGCCTTATTATTTATCAAATTCACAAACTCAATTCCCCTAATTCAAAAAAGTGCAGCAACCTACAGCCAGTGGTCTCGCCGCCGGGAACCACCGTGACCAGAGGTTCGACGCCGACGAGAATGGGGCGGCGCTGAGGAGTTGTGCAGGAGGACTTCGTCGAGACTGGTTTCCGACAACCTACTCGCCGGCTTCCTCGCCAGAGTCTCATATGCCGTGGCTACTTATGCACGACGGCTGGTGACGGATGCACGACGGCGGTCTGGTGAAGGTAGGCAGAGGAAGATTGAGATGGCGAAATTGACAGAATCATGTCTGGTGCACGGCAGCGGCTTGGGAATGTGTACGGAGGAGGCCTGAGCGGCGGACGAATGGCGGATGCACGACCGCGGGTTTGTGAATGTATACGGTGGAAGAACGGCGGGCCTGAGATGGAGGAGGCGCGGCGAACGAGCAGCGGTGCACGGTAGATAAATGGAAGATGCACGCTAGCTTCCGGCGACAGATCGAAATAGGAGAGAGGAGAGGGAGAGATTTATTCTCATTTCTTTCACTATCTACCATTCTCATATGATCCTAACTCTATATATATATATATATAGAGAGAGAGAGAGAGAGAGAGATCAGATATTTATTGATTATTGAGTTGTTTAATGTATTAATTAAAAGAAAAAAATAATAAATAAAATAACGTCTTTTGATGGAAAAATAAATGAGGTTTTATTAATAGCTTTGCTAGCAATTATATATATATATATATATATATATGCATTGATAATCTTATTCTTTTTTATATAAATAGATTTGCGCCTTTAATTTGGAGTTATGTATATTGACATGTCACTGAGGTCTCCCGAAATCGATATCATGTTTGAAAAAATATTTCAATTCCGCTTGATTGACCTATAACCAGTGTTCTAGAAGTTAATAGGCGTCCGCTGGGTGCTCGACCAGTACCTAGCGCCTAAAGCGCCCAGGCGGGGCTTAGAAATCAAGATTAAATATCTTATATTATTATTTATTTTAACTACCTACAAAATAAAATTATCTCAACTTATAATAAATCAACACACCTACGTCCAAATAATAAAATTAATATATTATACAAAAACATGATAACAAAATAATGTAATTAGTATTTAAAAAAAAATATAAAAAAGTCAAAAAATTGCCGCCGAGCCCGCCTATAAATGTCTAGGTCCGCATAGGCCCACCTAGGCGCCCCTTAGTCGCCTGACCGATTTTTTCTGCCAATTTGTGCAAATCGAAGGCGGTCGGGAAACGCCTAGCGTTAGTACAGTGCCTGTAACTACTCTCTCCAAAAATGATTTAACATTTAAAAATTTGATCGACCCACCATTGATGTCTCAAAAATAGTCATTCACCATTTTAAAAAATTAGGTCAAGACAATTAAGTCACCTTAATCAATCTGTTACTGAGGTCTCCAAAATTGATTTAACACAGTATAATTTTTAGTAAAAGTTACCTTAATTACTCGACCTACCACTGAGGTCTCCAAACTGGACGCCAAACATAGAACCAATTTTGCAATTGTGGCAATAAAGTTACTTTTATTGATCGACCTTCCGCTGAGGTCTCTGTAACTAACTCCATACTTGGACATAATTTCGTCATTCGTGTTGGGTGCGTTCGACCTTCTATTGAGGTCGTCGTAATTTGATATTTGAAACGTGGTTATTGCGCTAGCTTCGATTATAACTTATTGTTTGATCATCGAACAACATGTATATATATATACATACATAGACTGTGAGTCATGTGTGTTAAGTAACGTGTCACTAATCACTATGATTTATTAGTTTAATATATAATAAAACTTTGATTAAAAATTCGACCATAACTAATTATACTAATAATTTTAAATAATTAATCGAAAAGATAAAATATTATTATAAAGTTGATAGACATATAATTTCATGTACAACGAAGATTTTTATAATCGATAATAATTCATTTATTATATTTTTATATAATTTAATTAAACTTATTAGGTATAATTAAATTGATCTCGCCGGTCCCATTCATATATCCGAGTAAAAGAATACTATCCCCCTATATATAATTTTAGAATGCGCTGAGCCTAAGTGGCAGACTCACACTATTCGGAATTTTATGTGGCGAATTATCATGCTTTATCATTTGGCTTGGATTGATTTTAATTTATTTTCAATCCTATAATAACTAGCCTTGGAATGTCCATATATATACTGATTTATGTTAATAAAGTTTAATATTATTTCATATTCTAAACATGATTTATAAGGCATACTTATTTCTCTTTCTATTTTCTTCATCTTTCTTTTATAATTATAAAAAATATTATCATACATTATAAATTATTTAAAAGCTAATAAATTATTTATTTATTATTAAATTTTCACATATAATATATCAGATTAATCATGTCTTGTTGAGATTCGATTTTGACATCTGTATTGTACATAAAAATAAATAAATAATTATATTTATATCTATAATAAAAATCAAATTATGTATTAATATTAATTGAAAAAAATATTAAATTAATTTAATTACAAAAGTTATATGATACAGTTAAAAAATTATTATAATATAAGAAGTTAATATAAGTGATGTATGTCATTTTAAATATAAATAAAAAATAGTTTTTAAAAAATTATCTATTTTTTTATTAATTTTAAGTTCAAACATAAATTTCTTAACAAGAACTCATCTATATATATATATATTAAAGCAAAGCAGTTGGTTTAGAGTTCTTTTCTCGCCTAAGAAATGTATTAATTGCTGTAATTAAGTTGTCTTTTAACAATATTTATCTAATTTTAAAATGACTATTCACTTGCAAGCATTTAACTATAATAAATAAAGTCCATTAATTGTGATGAAACTCTTTAATTCAATGCATTGGGCATAATAATGACAATCCATTCTTAAAATTTATCACCAAAAAGATAATTATACAAATTAACAAAGTGATTAACAACGTCCATTCAACATTAGGCACCAAGTTGTTTACTTATCTTTCAAATCATCATATTTATTTTCTTGACCTTTCAATTTTTTATTTGAGCTCGAACAAATATAAATATATAGATCATTATCGGTTGGATAAATGATATGTAAAAATTAATATAGATCATGAAGATAATGAGTAAGTTGGACAATTATGCACACATATTTTATAGCTCATTAGTTATTTATTAGTTCCACAATAAAAACCAAATCTCTCGCCGATCCCTAAATCCCCAAATCTCTCGCCTCTCTCGCCGCTAAATTTCTCAGATCGTCGCCTCTCTCTCGGCTTCTAGCCTTGCAGGTAGCTGTTCTTACGCCGCCCGGCCCTCCCAGATGCTGCGATTCTGACCGCTATGTGTACCAGAGGTTCTTGTAGCCACTTAATCTACGTCGTCTATTCTGGCCGGCGGGTTAGGGATTACGGTTGCCGGCCTCTTAGGAGCTGTGGCGGAGATAAGGGTCGCAGTGCTTTGGGTTCGGGTTGGGTGAGGCTCTGGCGGTTCACCTTCTCAGGCGGGCCTATCTTCTGTTATGCCTTCGACGGCTGGGATGGAGGTACTGCTTCCTTTTTCCGGTTGTCGCGAATTGCAGGGGCCTGTCGGTCGTTTTTGTTCCTTTTCGCCGGCGGATTGGTGATTGTGGAAGATGAGCTTTCGATTGCCGGCGGAATGGGTTCGCCGGTCTCGATCGAAGGTGAGCTTTCTCCTTATTGCTATTCCTGTCTCGGTATTCTTTTGCTTGCGACTGGCGGTGTTCGTTGCTTCTCTGTTCTTTACGGCTGCGGGTTTCAGAGGAGAGGAGAGGCAGGGTGTGTTTCTACATTTCGGAGGTTCAGGGGTAAGGCTTTTGCAAGGCTCGGGTGTCTTTGGGTCTTCGGGAAGGTGGGGCTGGGGCTGGGGCTGTGGTATCGAGACAGCTCTCTTTCCCCGGTTCTCTGGGGTGGGGATCCGGGGTGCACACTGTTTTGGCAGTGTTGGGAGCTGTGTTGGTGCTTTCTGGCGTAGGGAAGAATTGGCTTAGGGTGGGTTCTGTGGTTTGAGTGTTGGCTCAGCTAGGCGGTTCAGCAGTGGAGGGGTCAATTTTCTCATGCTGTGGGGTTCTCCCTGGGTTGATTTGGTGGCTGCTAGTTTGGTTAAGATTCGCTGTAGAGGGAGGGCTTGTGTGTTTTTTATTGTCTATTCAGTGTTTTTTTGTGTGGTTTTTCGAGTCTGTGTTAGGTTTGTTTGTTCGTGTTTGTTTGGGAAATGAATGCAGGCTAGGCATTGTGCAGTGGCTCTGTTTTTCATTTTCTTTTTTCGTTTTGTGGAGTTCTCTAGGCCGCCATGTGCGTGTCTTCTCAGTTTTCTATTTCTGTTGTTTTTTAGGCGTGTTTTTGGTTTGGGCTGTTGGCCCCTGTCTCATTACCCTGTTGGGGCCTTAGATATTACCCTGNATAATTTCTGATTGTAATTCATATTTCCTTCAATAAAATAAATAACATTCAATATTTTTGGAGATATTGAATTTTATTTTCATAATTTTTACAATTTGTTTAATTGAAAATGTATATTATTCAAAATAATAAAATAATATTTTTCAAATATAAAAAATGTATATTTTATGTTTAATCCGTTATATACTTTTCTAATGCCCCAATTGATTACGTATTATATGTATTAGCATATGGAACTCCATATAAATAACTTAATGTTTAAATAAAGTTCACTACAAAAAAATTGTTATATTCCAACGGAAAATCCTATGGTAATTTATTCCAATGGCAATTCCAATGGATATTCCAATGGTATAGATTCCGTTGGAATGATTCCAACAGAAATTCCAACGAAAATATGCCATTAGAATGTGTTTTTTTATTGAAATTTTAGATGGAATTTAATGATTCCAACGGCTATATTTCCAATGATTTTTTACCGTAGGAATTTTCGTTGGAATATGCAATTTCCGTTTGAATATAACATCAAAATTTGATTGTATTTATAGGTAAAAAAAATGCATAAATATTTCAGAACTAATATTAAAAAAAAAAAATTATGAATGTTAACATACACATTGAGAGAGTTAGAGGATTTCAGAGATGTGCAACTCATGTCTTTAACTGTGAAACTAAAGAGAAAATTCATATTGGTTTAAGTTTGATTGAATGTGTTATTTGACCCAAAAAAAATTGTTTATTTTTTTATTTTTAGTTGGTATAATTTATTTTATTTTTGTCAAAATATTACTTGATGTATGCTATTATTATGAATAAACAATAATAATACAACTTTAATTCTTGGAAAAAGGCATAACTGGTTAATTTATTATTCGTATATTTATATTGTTTTCATAAGAATGATGGGAAGAT